ACCTTATCAGCTTGTGGAAAATCTGCATGTGATGAGCTTTGATTCATGTGATTTTCTCATCACCTGTTTTAGGTGATTGTCAGTGTATTACAAAGGTACAATACAGATATTAGTACAGGTTGGTATATTAGCATTTTATTAGTCAATTAAATGTTTTTTACTGCAAATTTAAGTTAAATCTAAAATAAAACCTAAAATGTTACTACTGTATTTTTATGCTAAATTCCTGGCAACCACAGCTGCTGTATAAATTTCTCAGATAGTAGTCAAAAGTCAGGGCCAATCTGTAGATTTTGGCCAGTCGGAGTTGACATTTTTCACAGAAAATTGCGTAGTGTTTTAAAACACATTTTCGTTTGTCATGAGTCTCCTAACAATGAGTCATATTTTTTTGCTGTGTGAGTTTGTGTTCGGAACAGCAATAGTGTATGATCCTCAGTCGTTTAGTGTATGATGTCCAATTTGTCTCTGTAACCATTTATAAAGTTGGCAAGTGTATGATTCCTAGTGTTTTAAAACCTGCTCATACTTTTAAAATTGCATAGTGTATTCCAGCTTTAAGGAGAACTGACTGTTTCAACACCCCCTTGGATTGCCACTTGGTTTGATATTTTACCTATATAAAATGGAGCAACAGAGACCGGACAAAGACTGAAAGCAAGGGTGCATCTTAAATAGAAAACAGAAACTAGATAATTAATCAGACAGTTGGGACAAATTAACTCATAATGACAGTAACCAAAGAAACAAAAGAGTGGCGGGACACTGAACAAATTAACACAGGAACTGATCAAAAATACAAACAGAAAGTCCACACACAAACTGAAATGTGACATTACTCCCTCCTCCCCAAAAGGCGCGTCCACTCGCCACAAACTGGGGTGGGCCTACGCTTAGGGTTAACAGACAGCCACCAGGGTGGTGCCGGCAACTCAGGGGACCAGGGCAGACCAGAGTCTCTGACGGGACGAGACTCTGGAAGTGCGGCCATGACAATGACTGGACGAGACTCTAGAAGTGTGGCCATGACGATGACAGGATGAGACTCTGGAAGGGTGGCCATGACAGGTCATGACAGGTCGAACTCTGGAAGGGCGGCCATGACGATGACAGGACGAGACTCTGGAAGGGCGGCCATGACAGGTCGAGACTCTGGAAGGTCGGCCATGACGATGACAGGACGAGACTCTAGAAGGGTGGCCATGATGATGACGGGACGAGACTCTGGAAGGGCAGCCATGATGATGACGGGACAATACTCTGGAAGGGCAGCCATGATGATGACGGGACAATACTCTGGAAGGGCAGCCATGAAGATGACAGGACGAGACTCTGGAAGGGCGGCCATGAAGATGACAGGAGAATACTCTGGTAGGGCAGCCATGATGATGACGGAACGAGACTCTGGAAGGGCGGCCATGAAGATGACAGGACAATACTCTGGAAGGGCAGCCATGATGATGACGGGACGAGACTCTGGAAGGGCGGCCATCTTGGGACGAGACGTGAGCTGGCTGTTTTCTGGATTGGGGGTACATGTCTTCCAGACACTTGAGAATGGCATCCTCCAGGGTAGTCCTCTAGTGTCTAAAAGTTCAACTGGGTGTTAGTTGGCCCTCATCCAATATAGTTTTCCGAGGGTCTCATCATCATAGGGGGAGAGGATGGCAAAACTCCACGGAGTAGTCTACAAAGTTGAGACCCTTCCTGGCCAAAGCAGTGAACTGTGCTGCTTTATCCATTTTAGGGGTCCGGTCTTCTGTCACACTGTGGTTATCTCAGGAACAGACTGAAGACTCCGATTCAAGATGCAAACTCAAACTTTAATAATAATAATAATAATAATACTCTGGAACAAGCTGACAGGCAGGGAAGACACACACCAACACAACAGAGACCAGACAAAGACTGAAAGCAAGGGTGCATCTTGAATAGCAAACAGAAACGAGATAATTAATCAGACACAGCTAGTACAAATGAACTCATAATGACAGTAACCATAGAAACAAAGGAGTGGCTGTAAACAGAACAAATGAACACAGGAACTGATCAAAAATACAAACAGAAAATCAACACACAAACTAAAACTTGACATTAGTAGACATTTTACTTTATTAACAGATCTCCAACTCCAACGCAGGATATTTGGTGAAAAAAAGAAAAAGAAACAAAAAATACATTCAAGAAGTCTTCTGCATAAGAGGATGTCTTGATGTGATGACTTGCAAAAGTGCCACTGAGAAAACTTTCTATGGACTGTAGACTTATGTTCAATTTTATGGATATAACAAAAGTTTTATTCTAGAGGAGCGTGTTCATTTAATCCCGGCCGCCAGTCATATTTCAAAGACTAAGCAACTGCTTACCTCTCTCCAGAGATCATTTTTCTTCTATCTCCCTCCTCATTCAGATCTCCTGCTTCACTTCTTAGCACCTATAATATTCAATTCTCTGTCTATATTGATTTTTTTCTTTACTCCAGTAGTCTCTAGCCCCATCATAATGGATGAATGCCAATTGAATCTACAGTATCTCACTCTAGGATTATATATACTCTTGAAATTAACAAAATAATGTCACAGAAAGTAGCAGATCCAAGTAATCTAAGTGAAGGATCTAATTAGAGTTTAATAAATTCTTACTGGGCATTTCATGCTGTCATGTCTTTTCTGATTTATTCTAATTTGTTTTTTTAAACAACAAATTCACGTTAGGCATGACATGACATTCACTGCAAGATCAACCCAGATTTCTACTATGTCTTTAGACAGGTAGAGCTTTATAGCTCATGAACAAAAGAAGTGTCAAACGTTCTGCGGTTGAGCTGACTCTCTATGACTCTATCAGTTATCTCAAATTCCCTGCCGTTCATTTGTCTCGAATGTGCAGTAGGGGGGTTATCTCTTCTTAAAGCCTGCAGTCAAAATAACACGCTTTAGCCTACAATTACATAGTCAAAGTCAATCTTGAGGGAAAACATTGTCGGATAAGAGCTACTTTTGAGTTTATAGGTTATACAAGAGGCATTATGGTAATTTTCACGATGCGATTTACCATCTAAATCTTTATAGCAATATAAAATATTAAAAATATACTTTTATGTCCACTAAACTGTGATGAAATAAAAAACTATTATACAATATGACTAATTTGTTGAATTGTGAGATTAATACTTTATCCAAAAAATCAAGATATACACTATTATTCAGATGTTTCACTGAAAAAAAAATAGATGATCAATAAGTTATGACAAAATATGTTTTTTTTTTCACATTGCTTTAACTCATCAAAAGAAGTTACGCAATTTTTTACTTTTTTAATAAGTTATACAAGATTCAACTCATTTTTTAAAGTCAGTTTAATGTAATTTAAGTTGAAATGACTTAAACATTTTTTACAGTGTTGGGGATGGTAAGATTTTTTTAATATTTTTGAAAGTCTCTCACCAAGACTGCATTTATTTGATTACAGTAAAAACAGTAATATTGTGAAATATTATATCCATTTAACCCTTAAAGACCTAGACCATTTTTGGAGCACCTGCACCGCCTGTTCTTTTCTTTGTTTTTCTAACCCATTATAACAGTCAGCATCAAGTGCCATATATAATTTAAAACAGGAGAACTTGAAGTTTTAATCTATCTAATTTAAATAATCCAATTTTACATTTATTTTGTCTTAGAATGGATGAATTTACCAGATTTAAGAAAAACGGCAGCATATTTTTAGTGATTTTTTTTACTTAACTCAAACAAATCCTCCTGAAGTTTTTTTTGTTTTCCTTTAGAAGCTGTTCTTGGATATTCTACATTTCCAGATGTAATTTTGACTACATGTAACAATCCCTAAGCAAGTTATAGCCATTTATTACAACAATATTATAGGCGATTTTCAGTGAAAAGCTGGTATTTTTTATTTACTGACAATTTAGATGTGTCCAAAAAAGTTCAGGAAGTAAAATAAATAGAATGATTGTAATAGAACACTGAAGCAAAATAAACTTTATATATATAAACACACACACACATACACACACACATATATACATACATATATGAACTACTTTCACTCCGTGCCTCAGTTGAAATTTCTATGTTAATTTAACAAGTTCGTTTGCCCATAAAATCTTTAAGATATTAGGTTAAACTTATTTGGCTTGCTGTCCGCTGGAGAGGGGCTCGATGAAGCAGCTTCAACTCGAGCTCTGATATACCCCCCAGTGGCTAAATGTAGGACCTGTTAATTAAAGGGCAAGGTACCTAAGATGAAGGTGGAGTTTGGGGAGGTGGAGGGATACTGGAACAGCTGATACTAGGGAGAGGTAAGCGGCTGCTTATATACTCTGTTTGTTGATTGAAAGATTGGATGGGCTCGCTCCTCCCTGACTTACGTTTAGGAACTTCATACATTTTGAAATGTAATTTATTCCTGTGATGACAAAGGTGAATTTTCAGCATCATTACTCCAGTCTTCAGTCACATGATCCTTCACAAAGCATAATAATATGCAGATTTACTGCAGTGATCTAAATCTAATGTAAATAAAAACTGAAAACGAATGCACATACAGAAATATAAATGTTTCAATCATTATAGCACCATTGATTAGAAACGAACAATGCTACATGTTGGTAAGATTCACGTCATCAGTAACATAAAAAATGATATTTTTCACGAGGAGGAATTGTCTTTTTCGACCACACTGTGTGGGCAATGTGCTTTCTATTCCTGGGCAGTGCTCTTACGCAGCTGTTTCCATGGGAATTGAGGTGGCAAAACCTTTCTTAAATGTCAACATTTAACAATTAGCAAATCAAACTTACTTTAAATGCATTTTAAAGACAGCATTTCTTCACTGAAATTTATGCACCAGTCGTGTCTTCTGGAACTGAAATGCTTATTGTTAGTTGCCTTCAAGACTATGACACTTATCAGGATTTTCTTCGTTCCATGCAATCAACTGATTTTCAATAAGTTTGTGTCTTCTCTCTTTTACCACAGCAACAGCTTGGTGAAGACGGTTGCTCTCATCAGCTTCCTGTCACTGGTCATGCTCATGAGCGTCCTGGGCAACCTGCTGGTTATGGTGGCCGTCTGCAAGGACCGGCAGCTCAGGTCAGAAACCGCCCATCTCCGCCCACTCCCTCTCCACTTATCTGACACCTCAGGGGAAACATCCCTTTTTAGCATTTCATTTGTGCAGCTCAAGTGAACTGACATGACTCATGTTCGAGGTAATTCTTACTGGATGGTTCTTTTTAGGTTTTGCAGGGTTTAAATCTGAATGGCAGACATTGTTATGTAGTTTCTTCTCACTCTGCAATTTTTTTAATTAGATAATTCATGTGTTTCTATTAAAGGATATAGCAGACTTTCAGAAATATTTAGATCAAATTCAGACAGTTAATCTTTATTCATTATAACTTTACAGGATGACAAATAAAGAGCTAAAATTACTCATTGCTTGCTTTGCCTACATGAGTGAGGACATTTTTTTTGTCACACAGATGGAATGCTTTTTTAATTGGGATGTTTTTAAACCAGTGGATACCACAAACATCACCGAATTAATTAAATTAATAATTTAATGAATAATTACTAGTGTTTGTGGTGTTGTTTTCCAACAGAAAATGATTTCACTTCCTGGAGGAGGATGTGCTTTGTTAGTTTGGATTTTACAAAAGACTAAGAGAAGGGAAAGTGAAATCATAGACCTTGCAGGGGGAAAACATACATTTACCAATTAAAACAGTATTCACAAGAAAACATGTTCTGTTGAGAAAACACACATTTTGATTAGAAAAAAAAAGTGAAGAAAGAACTGGGAATTTCTTGAATATATATCCACTAAACTGTGATAAAAAAGCAATATGATACAATATGACTTATTAGATGAATTGCAAGATTAATATTTTATCCAAAATATTAAGACACAGTAGGCTATCAATCAAAAGTTAGTGATCTGTTTTTTTAAGTCTCTTATGCTCACCCAGTAAAAACAGTAATTAAAACAACATTGTAGGTTTCTTTTGTCTCTCAAGCCTGTAGGCATTGTTTTTGTCATGAAATCTCTGAAGTCATGTCAATTATCTACATTCATCAAGGTTACCAAGAAACTCTTTGAAGTGTCAAAGAGGGAGTGATGCACTAAACGTTATGTCATGATGATAGTGATAAATGTCCTTAAAATAGGCCGTCCGAACACTCCACCGTCATGTAATCTTGTCTTTCACACACAACAGGTTAATGTTTAACAGTGAAGAAGCTCATCAACAGTGGGCGTTTCTTTTTTTTTCTTTTTTCTTTTTTCTTTTTTTAGTTAAGCAGTTCAACAGCTCATAAACACTTCTACAAAGCCTCTTTGGGTTAATTAGCAGCTTGTTAATTACTCCTTTGGAGTCCTGCTGGGTTCTTGGAAAACTATACTGCTATTGTTTTTATATCAATGAAAGCCACTGGCTGAATGGAGCTCTGAGTCCTTTTTTAACAGAAATAGTCCAAGTCTGACAGGAAATAAACGTGGCTGTTTGCTTAAGCTCCAGATCTCCACCCACACTGTATCATATCTTACAGTAATTACCATTTTTCAGACTGTCTAGAAAGTGCCAACACCATCACGAATGTGAAATTCGAATGAGGCCGCTGATACAGACCTTCTGAGACAGCCAATTTCCTTCTGAATCTGTAAACCGATTCTTAGGTTCTTAATTCACCCAAAAATGTCTTTCCAAAAATTCTGTCATTATTTACTCGCTCTCCTGTTTTGTGGCACATAAAAGAATATATTTTCAAGCATGTTGGTTATTAACATTGTATGGACAAAAAAACACTGAGACATTTCTTACAATACCTTCTTTTGTCTTCCACTCTCCCTTCAATGCAGACAAAATAACCAATTATTGTAGGGTTTTTCTTTTGTTATTATTGTTATATTATTATACTTTTACGAACTGAAGTATGAAAGTAATGCATGTCAAAGCAGCTTTTCTATTATAAATTGTATAAGTAGTTTTTTTTAGGTGCTAACTAGCAGCACAGATACAGGTTACTCAGAGTGCTGGAATTCCCAGCATGCACTAGAGCATGAATAAATAATATGGTTGCATTGTTTGACCATTTACCCGTTTAATTTACAGTTGTTTTTGATTTTCCCCAGAGCAAGACATCGGAAAATAGTTTAACGGCTGACATTTGCCTACACTGGATGTGAGTGTCGCATAGGGTTGAGTATCGTTCAATCATTTTCGATATCGATTCCGATACCGGTTCCTGAACGATACTTTTTACGATACCAATTTTATGAAGTCTGTTTTAATTACATTAGATATTACCTCAAAAAACGTTGGTTTTATTTTTTTTACAGACTCAAAGAGTCATATAGGCGGAATATATGCCACGGCCTCAGCACGCATAAAGCTTGCCGCAAAGCACTGGCAAAAGTAGCCTAATGATTATGAATGTGTCGGGGAAAAAATAGCAAGGAGACATTTTAATTGTTTATGAATAAACTAGTGTTTTCTGAGTCAGTGTTGACTGCAAAGATGAAGTTGACGTTGCTGACTCATCATCTCTGCAGTATAGTGAACGCGCAAGCCTATAGAGAGAAATGCACCTTTCATAATCAGAGAATATTTGTTTTCGAATCGAATTGGTTCGTTTAAAAGTAGACATTTTAAGCTTTCTATATGCCTGTTTCTCATGTATGTGAGGCAAGTACGCAGAGTTTCGGTTCATTTGTGGCGCGCTCCAGTTCTTTTTGCAGTCAAAGACAGAGCAACTTTTATTCCGTGCAGTGTCAAGTGCTTCATCAGATTTGTATTGTTGCCAGTCTTGGCAGCCATTATCTTGTCACAAATATTGCATCATGCGCTGTTGAAACGTAGCCACACTTTTGATCTTTTCCACATCTTTTACTTGATCTTTTCCACGTCTCTTACATCTATGGGGATTGGGACGCTTAAACACTACACCATCACGTGTGAGCCACGTCTGGACGTAACCGGTGTAAACTAGTTTTTTCCTTGATGCCTCGCCACACCCAATTATGCTGCATGCTTATTGGCTCACTGACGTTGACGAGATTAACCCCTTAGGTATCGAAATTTGGTACCAAACGACAAGACATTTTTTGATACTCGATGGCATTGAGGCAATTCGGTCGGTGCCTAAAAAGTTTCGAACTCGATATCCAGCCCTAGTGTCGCGTCAAAAGAAAATAGAACCCATTTTAATCACTGATGCTGTCTACACTGGACATAGTAGATATGAGTTCAGTTTCTGGCATACTCCACTTAAGTCTGTTGACAACAGGAGAAATAGAAGGTGGAACGAATGTTCGCTTTGAGGCATCCAATTTAAACAGCTCGTTTGAATCTCTCTATAGAGACTTCAAAAGGATTCCAGCTTCGGAAAACAAGTGGATGGTGTATTTTAGTGGCATCCTGAATCACGTCTGAGTATTTTGTTTGTTCGGAGCATTTGACTACAGATTGTTTTGTAAACAAGGCATGGTGGATAAGGTTTCAAAACAGTTACTGGCATGCAATAGTGAGTGGATGTTGATACTGTTTCCTATGCAATGACGTTAGCAAATCATAACAGTGGCCATTTACTGACAAGCCTTAAAGGAGCCGCCCCTTGAAAACGGATCATTTATATATATACACACTTGCAAACTGTTGCCTTCATGTTTTATGTCTTATGAACACTTTTGAAGGAGAGAAGAAACAGTTTAGGGAGCTCTATACTGAAAAAGCTGTTGGTTTCTTTTGTGTCTAAAGGCAGGAGGCAGCGCTAGGCTTCTTATCTCCTCAAACGTCATGCCACACATCACTTCATACATTCCTTCCTCTATTTCACGTACTATACTTCCTTCTGATTTATAAATTGCTTATCCTGTCCCATACCACCCAGATTCATTCACTCAAAGGTCATGTTTCCACTCTACCACCTGTGTAATGCTTATCTGATAATAGAAGTCCTGAGAAAAATAATCTAAAAATAATCTCAATGTTACCACTTGAATCACGTGCCAAATATTATGTTGTGATAGTAATGACAAATGTCTATAAAAGAGGCTGCTAGGGTCAAATGGAACATCTGGTGCCATTTTGCTTCAATGATGCATCCAAAAGGGATTTGTAAATACTGACACACTATCTGATGGTGTAATTATTGGATGCATGTTGCTTTTCATTCTTCAGAATTGCTGTCAAATGTTCATGAAAGCCAATCAGTGCCCCTCTCTGCATTCTTTCAAAGATGTATATTGTTCACAGGCAGCTGGTATGCGGATTTTATGCCATGTTATGGTTACGTGACAGAATGATTTGAGCCTATTAATGCTTCTCAGTGAGCTATATATAGATATCTGTGTTCAGAAGCTCAAGCAAGAGTTTTATTACTCATTAATAGGGTGCCCAGAGCTCTGGACATTATCAAGGGGAGCGAACATTATGACAACCTATCAGCAACGTACCACACACATAGCACAGACACACGCAGACACGTTCAGTAGATATCTTATACTGTTTTCTCCAAATGATTTAATAGTGAATATTAATTTCTAATCATGAGGGAACACATCTTGTCAAGCTGCTGCTACATTCATTATTGAATTTAAAGGGATAGTTCACTCAAAAAGGAAAATTTAGTTTGCACACAAGTCGCATGGACAATATTTATAATACATTGAAGCACAAATTGGTGTAGTAGGATTTGAAACACTTTTTCACTCAGACATTGCTAGTAAATTTCACAAATAATTACAAAGAAACGGCAATTCAATTAAACATGAAATTTTGCAGTAGAAAGACTGAAGTATTTTATTGTAAAACACTTCAATAATTACGGATTTTATTAATTATAATTATTTAAGTTTTGATTGCAACTTTGAGCATTTGTGTCCATGCTTGTTTACTAATTGTTTTCCCCTAAAAATCTTTTTTTTTTAAATAAACATTTGAAATTGTATTTAGCTGAATTTAAGTAAGGTCACACTTTAGATTAGGATCCAATTCTCACTAACTAACTATTGCCTAAATAAACTCCTAATTTCTGCTTATTAATGGTTAGTAAGGTAGTTGTTAAGTTTAGGTATTATGTAGGATTAAGGGATGTAGAATACGGTTATGCAGAATAAGTAATATTTTAATATGTGCTTTTTAAGTACTAATAAACAGCCAATATCCTATAATATGCATGCTAATAAGCAACTAGTTAGAATTGGACTCTAAACTAAAGTGTTACCAAAAGTAATATATCTTTGTTTCTGCTGCAGGAAAATCAAAACCAACTACTTCATCGTCTCACTGGCGTTTGCTGACCTGCTGGTGTCAGTGCTGGTGATGCCGTTTGGTGCCATAGAACTGATCCATCAGAACTGGATCTACGGAGAGACCTTCTGCCTGGTCCGCACCTCTCTGGACGTTCTGCTGACCACCGCCTCCATCCTACACCTGTGCTGCATATCCCTTGACAGGTAAAAAACAAGAAAAAAGACCTTGCCCTTTCAGTTCAGGATGCTCATGAGGCGTCTTGGTTGTGTATAAATCACGTGCTATTAATTGAAATTCCATAAACGTATAGTCTTGACACATGACTGCAGTTGCTGTTGTCATGGCAGCCATAAATTGTTTCGCCACCGAGGACAAGCACTTGAGAGTTTAGTTCTGCGGACTGTGTAGTGATGCTGTTTCCATGGTGATCTATGTGTGGCCACACAAAGTCCCTTGCCAAGTAAATCGTTCACCAACACTGCAGTGATCACATGTGATTATGAACCTAACAAACTCTTAAAGTCGAGCAACAGGCAAACCTTTAAAAAGAGAAACATATTGTTGCTGGACAACTTAGAATAAGCAAATAGTCATGTTAGAGAGGGCTTTTCACACCAGGGGAGCGCAAAGAGGTGCTAATGGGTTCAGGGAACATTTGAGAGAGAAAAAAAATAATTGTATTCATTTTTTTATGTATATTTTTTTTTTTATAAACCGTGATGCATTTTTTTGGTAACACTTTACAATAAGTTCTAATTTGTTAACATTAGTTAATGTATTAACTAACATGAACTTACAATGATCAATATATTTTTACAACATTTACAAATATATACCTTTATATTTTAAGAAATGGGTCCCCTGCAGGGGATCATCATATTTGATAGTGCTTGACATCAGAAAGTTTGAAAACCTCATATGTAGCAGATGCTTTTATGCAAAGTAACTTGCAGTAGAGCTATTATTGAAAAAAAAAAATCCTTTTGGAGCAACCCGGAGTCAAGTGCCTTGCTCAAAGGCACAGTGGTGACAAATAAATATGAATAAACAGTTCTTAAGCTCGCTTTGGCACACGTTTATGATTTACGATCCATAAACACAGAAGGTTTCATAAAAGATTGTTGCTCTTTGCGAAACGTTAAGGTTGTTTGTGGAAGTAGCTGCAATTTTGTTCTGCTTCCATCTACTTGGCTTCGTGTACACCATCATGTTTGCCCCTGTCTGATCTTATCTTTTTTTTTTCCTGCACATAACTATAATGGACAATTCGTCTAAACTCTGTGAATGGGCATTCAGCTGTAATACATTTTATGCTTTGACATTCTATTTAGTTTATGACCTTGTTCCCGTCTGCAGCAAATGCTCCATCGTGAATAATAAAAGGAGAACTTGAACATGGTTTAGTATCTCAAACGTCTTGTGGTACACTGGCACATTGTAAGGCTACTCCACTTAGAAGTTCAATAAAGTACTAAGCCTTAGTATGCACTTCCCTCCGAAGTGAACCACCCTTTCAGCTCCAGTCCTTTACCCCAGAGTGATGCATTAGACCAGAGGACTGATATTCAGGATGAGCTTTGAGTGCTCAGCTGCTTCCCTAGTTTGCGTCATTCGGCCCCTGCAGTCACACAGACCGCCTTCCAATGCCTCGCTTGTTAAAGGGGGCATGAGGGCACACTGAGAGGAGGGGGACTGATAATATTTGGTTTGTTACAAAATGTACCTCTTTCTCCGTTTGACGTGTGCACCTCTCTCTCTTTCTTTATTCTGGCCCACGGTTCCACTGAATTGAGAGTCAAATAATGATGTAACTATCTCGTTGCTACAGAACATTCCCTGCCTACAAACAAACATGCAGCATTGCAGTCTGTGTGTACTATAGTCTTACTTCTAGTTTTGAGAACATATGAAGTATAAGTAACTGATTCAACGTTATGTCATCATGAGTTGCTTTTGATGCAACAGCCATAATTTAAATGCAAAAAAAACCCAAAAAACATAGCAATCAATTTACGATGATTTCTTGTGAATGAGTACACTTAAGCATACTTTTAAAAAGAATACATACTATGGGAATAATAAACTGTAAAGAAATACAGTATATTATTATATTAAATACTGCATGTTAAAGACAGTGAAACACTTTCATTGAATGGAAAATATATTTCCTCTAACCCACTAATAGCCAAATGTTAATAGCAATGTGGAAGATGTTTTTTATGTGACTTTTAGAGAGACTATTATGGCAGTCAGTTTGTTATCTATCTTTTTCCTGTTCATCTTTTCCCGTTACTATCACTATGTATCGCACCTTGCATTCACGCTCCACTGGGGTCTGCTTCCGTGATTTTCATCAAGACAGTAATGTTTTCCTGAGTACGAAGGAATGAAGAGGTTCCAGTCAGCTCGGCTACAGGCGGCACTTATGACAATCATGGGTCTTGTGGAAAGGAAACGGCACCCATTCTGGCTATTTCTCAAGTCATTTGCCTCTCTGAGTTTTGACAATGAGGCTGGCCGGGTGTCCTTCAGGCACTCACTTAGCACATACAGCAGTAATAGCCATGTCATCTCAATTTAAACTGTGTGAAATGCGCTCCGCCTTGTTCTTAAAAGCTGCTTTCTCCAATGTAATTCTTCTTCGGCCTTCGGGTTAGTAGCAGTCTCTTCTCATTTCTCACACAAACCTCACTCACCGAGCAGCATGTGTTTAGAGTCTGCTATACAGCTTGAGTCTCTTCAGATGATTTGCAGTCTCAGTGTTGATTTACTGCTTAATTTAGTGCTCTCTATTATGCCTCCATTCATCTGACTCATTCTGGTTGAATACTAATTGTATGTGCTCATTAGCTGTGTTATTAGTGCGTCACAAGCCGCCACTTACATATGTTTTCGAAGCCTCTGTAGTTCTTCTTGATAATCGCTGTGTATATCAGCAGGTGAGAATAGTCTTCTTGGTGCAATATCCACGATAAGCAAGGTCATATACTTTATGGCACTATAAAAAGGTACACTTAGAGAATACAACATGCACAAAACTGTCCCAAAGTCTTTGTGCTTTCATTATGCTTTCATAGAGAAAATGTGTTTTTTAACTGAAAACACATTCTAATCATAGCACAAAAATGATTGTTCTCATTAATATCATCTTTGCCTTGTGACATCCTATAAAGTATAAAAACAAGTATAAAGTTACTTGAGAAGCATAACTGAATAAGATGTCCAAAAATATTAACATGTCTTCTTTCTATTGATTTAGAAATATACTGTATATAAATATATCTTCTGATGACAGAATTTTCATTTCTAGGTGAACTATCCCTTTAAGAGTTCTTTTCACAGAATGCATATTTAATATTGCCTGTATTGTTCACTCTTATTTTAATGATAAATGATTGTAATGCACAACATGAAGATAAATAACCACCCAATGTGAATGGACACCTAGCCGTGTATTGTCTCATGGACAAGTTAAAATTGTCATTGTTGCTTACAATACAAAATTTGACTGGATGGATAAAAATAACAATACATTTAAGTTGTATCTAGAGGCAGGGCCTTAAACGAACTGTTTGCTACATCTGTCAATGGCTGGTGGCTAGGGAAATTTACCAGCCATATTTTTTTTTTTTTACCAACCATGAAACTATTTTTGCAAAAAAGAGGCAGTTATGACACAAAAAATGTAGATACCAGTGAAAATTCACCATTCTATATTCCAATTACAAAACCACAGCTAAAACTACTAGCCTAACTAATATGCATTTAAAACATTAATAAAGACAAGTAACAGTGGTTTTCAGGTAGAGACATTGAATAAAGCAATTACCGGTAAATGTAAAATAACACTGCATAGTCTTCACTGTATAAATTAAACAGATTAATCCTTATATACAGTTACAAAAGTTATTCAGTCAAGAGCAATGAATGATTTGTTCTTTGTCCTTTGTTGTTTGATTAATATTAAAAACACAGACAGCAGCAGACATATTAGTCTGCTGTCTCTTTAAGACCTAATGAATGGATCCAATACACTGATACTGGTAACACTTTGTTTTGATGGTCCCTTTTGAACATTCTGTTGACTGTAAGTAACTTTGCAACTACATGTCAACTAGGGACCATCAAATAAAGTGAAACCCTGATACTGATACACACCTTTCTCTACTGTTTATGTTCACTTAAGCCCTAAACAACTATGTTTACTAGGAACTTGCCAAGACGGGCACTTTTTGAAAAGAAAAAATTGTCAATTTGTCCATTAATGTGAATGTCACGTTTAGTTAGGGTTAATTGCATTTTCAAGGACTTTAAGTTTGTTTCTCTTCAGTTACCTGTTTCCTTTTTTCTAGTTTCCCGCCACTATCAGTTGTCATGGATATTCATTTAACGACCACACCTGTTTGTAATTAAGTTCGTCACCTTGTGTATTTAAGTCATTGTCTGGTATTGTTTGTGCATGGCACAGTTTTGTTTGTGTTTGTTGTTATTGCATTGTGTTAGTTTTCTTTTTGTTAATAAATCAAGTTATATTTAAGTCTTCTTCGCCCACCTTCTTCATCCCTGGGATAAAACGTGTCAGTGAAAGTGAGCTCAATTCAGTATTTGCGTTCTGTCTGAGTCACAGCTTTCAGGGCGTGCGCTTTGGATGTGTGTGCACACAAAACATTTCACACAGCGAGGAACAAATTGAGTTCCCTTTGCGTCTTCTTGCGCTTGAATATTTTAATTGGCAGCGCTGGCCTATCAACTGTCTCGAGCGTCGTCCACATTTGTTGGTTGCGTTCATGTTCTCACAACATTGCATTGTTAGAATTCATAAAAATGTTACAGACCCACTGGGGATTGACACTGTTTCATATTCTCACTGACTAAGCCCTGTCTACAGGTCATTAGATTTAGAATTTTGAAATAAAATAAAGACATTCATACAGACCATGGTATAATCTATTTAAACATACATCTATTTAGACAATAACTATTTAGACATTTTGAAATAAAATAAAGACATTCATACAGACCATGGTATAATCTATTTAAACATACATCTATTTAGACAATAACTATTTAGACATTTGTTAATGACTCCTGATAAATGAACCATTCTAAAAACTTGTCAGTATTTAGTGCTGTAATTAACGTTAACCGATAGCTAATACTTAGGAAATTGAATGCTGCCTAAATTGCAGTAACAGAGTCAGAA